CAAACGGATGGTTCAAGAGGCAACCATAGCAGAAGACACAGCATTCCATCCGATGGAGGAGGATGAAATGGAGGAATTGAGAGACGACGCCGTTGATTTATTTGAAAAGAGTCTCGAAAAGGAAGCAGAGATGAGAGAGGAAAATGAGAGGAACATAGCCGACCAAGTGAGTTTAAGTCATACGGCAGACTACAACGCTGTGAACCAAACCATAATGGATAGTGTAGGTTCAACTAACAGCGCCAGTGCGGGGATAGAGGAGGAAGAAGGTAAGAAGAGTGTTATTCAAGCCGTGATGGATAAAGTGAAACCAGTAGGAAAGCATATGTTGAAGGAAGCGGCAAAGGCAATAGCAACATCACAAGGAGGGGTAGTAGGAGGTCTCATAGCGGACAGACTGTTAGACACATCGGGAGAAACGGGCAATGAAAAGAAGTCTTTAGCAAAATCGTTAGGTTCAACGGTGGCAAAGAACGTGGCAGAGGCAATCCTTCCAGATGTAGAGCACAAACCCAAACCAAAAGCAAAGGGAACAAAAAAGACACCACTAAAAACACAAAGACCAGACCCAACGGGTTTAGCAACAACATTTACACCCAAACCCAAGAGAAGAATAACGAAGAAATCACCGCCGGAAGAGGAAGAAGTAGAACATATGGATACACGGATAGGAAGCCAGAAGAGAGAGGAAGCAGGAGCATCCACACAAACATCAAAGAAGTTTCGTAAAAATTCAACACCTAAAAGGATGGAGATACTCAACGTTGATGGAGAGCAACCATCAAGAGCAAGACCAAAGGCAAAAGCATCAGCATCAGCGTCATCATCTTCATCAGCACCACCTCAACCATCACAAGAGGAAGAACAACAACAACAACAAGAACCGAAGGGTGTGAAAAAGTCCATCCATAAGGAACACGGGGCAAAAGTGGTTATTCCAAGCAAGGTGGGAATACAGGTGATGAGGGAAGCGTTTGAAACCGGACACAACAGACAACTCATTGATTTGATGACCCACAGAGCATACCAAGACCTTTTCAACCAATGGAAGAAAGCGAGTAAGGAGGAGAAACCAGAACGGTTGAAAGAAATGAGACAAATGTATAAAGAAAAAGTCTATCCACAACTGAAGCAACATCAGAAGTGATTAATAATGTCTTATATTTCAAAAGTATTATTAATATCTTACTCTTCAACGAAGGTCAGACTGAAGGAAACATTAACGTTATTCAAATCAACCACATTACCACAGGAAGTCACAAGTTTGAAGTGAAGGGTTCCCAACACCCGATTACTCACATTGATGTAATCCGCCCCAATGATTTCATTATCATAGATGACCGAACCAAAGGGAGCATTGATAGGAACTTTTATGATTATAGCATACGCACCCGTTGAACCCAACTGTCTCGCATCAGACAACTCACTACAAACCAGATACACATTTCTTAAAGCAATTAACGTTATGTATCCACTCACCCAAGAAGAACTATTCAAAGCAGGTGTGTAGTTTCCTAAAACCTGATTTAAGGACATCAAGTTTTCCCTATCGTATGTATCACCTTCCCAAACATTCACGTTATAATACATCTCATAGTCGGTCATAACCCTGAAGGAATAATCAACATATATAGTTCAAATTGATATAGATTTTGTTAGTGTCATAGTCATAGGTGATGGTGAAGTAATCGTTGTTTGCTAAGAAACCATCGGTCAGAAGTTTTAGATTTACTTGTAGCGCCGTCGCCAGAGTAGCACCAACATAAGAAGAGGAAGGAATGGAAACCTTCACATCCCTCGTTGAGGTGAAGTTCGTAAGTCTAAAATACATTATGTTATTCAAACCCGCCAGAACGGGGTAGATGCTGTTACAAATGGTGATTTCATGAACATGTAGTTTGGTGTCATCCCCGCACTCCTGACTTTCCGGTAGGTAAATCTCAAGGTCGCTGGAACTGTTGGAATTGATGGTTCTGTGATGACTGTCAATGTATATCTTCTTAAATCTGGACATCAAAAATATAGTTAGTTGTAGATTTTTATTTTTTAATGTTAATTTTATATGAAAAGGAGATACGATAACATCAAGGTAGAGGGAAGGGTTCAAAAACTTCAATCCATTCAAAGAGATTGACAGTAAGACCTTCAACAAGGAATACTACCAGAAACAGAGCAGTATAGTAAAAAAGGTCAAAGAAGAGACCAGCGAATACTTAGATACATATAGCAACATCAACGACTGGACGGGATTGAAGAAAGCATACAACAACACCACAGACAACGGACTATATTATCACCCAGATAACAAAACTTTATACATCGCGGGGACAAAGGATTTACCGCAAGATGTTATGGATGACCTTTTCATACCCTTTCGTATGGTAAGCCATTCCAAGAGATACAAGACTGCGAACGATTACATCCAAAGGAACGGGTATTTGATTGATAAGGTCGTGGGGAATAGTCTCGGTGGAGCGGTTGCGATGGAACTGAATGATAGCAACAATAAGAGGTGAGAACATACAATGCCCCGCTGATGAGTTGGAACTTGAACACCGACCCCAATGTTGAAAGATACAGAACATCAAACGATGTGGTGAGTATGCTTGACAGAGGGGCGAACCTGCACGTTAATAATTCCTTATCCCCTTTACAATCACGAATATCAGGCTAAATATTTTGGTGATAGGCGTCGGTCATCAAATAACCTAATGTTTAGTATATATAATGGAAGACAGCGTGAAAGAATACACAAGACACTACAAGAAGGAAACTCAACTATTGAAGGAAGAGACCACAAAGAGGAAGAAGCAGCTGACATACAACGAAATAAAAAATAGACAAGATTATAAAGAGCGGCAGCGAGATAAAGAGCAATCAAAATAAAAGTGTAGCATCCGAACCAACACCCAGCAAGAACACCAAGAAGATAAAAGCAAACATATATTTAAGAAATACAAGTTTGATTTAACATAGATACATAATTTCTGAAATCAGTTTTTTACTTCGTATAAACTGATTAAAGTACATTTATTAATCAGAATAAATTTTCTATATAGAATATATAAATAAGTATGGAAGCATTAGAAATAACAGATGTTCTTAACGAAAACGTCTTACGATACAGACTGAAGGGTGGAGCAAGTTATATCAGAGACAAGCGTACCAAGACATTCTATCCTTCATCCGTTTCAACTTACCCATCCAACTCTAACTCGGTCATCCGTTTCAATCTCACAGGAGGAGCGAATGAGTGGTTTAACTTGAGAAGTCTATTGATAGGTTTTACATTAGTCAATGGAGAGAACAACGGAGCGAAAGAGTTGAGACCCGCTTACAAGCCATCAAGTTTCTTCCAACGGATGAGGGTGATGGTGGGTAGTAATGTCATCGCTGAAATTCCTGACCTTGACAGGTATGAAGCAATGATGGATATTTTACAAGACGACGGTTCAAGAAACTACACTGATAATATAGGTTTCGGTGAGACCTTCTACAATGAAGGAAACAGATTTCTAACTTATGATGGAAGCAACACCGGAAGATTGCCAGTGATAGAAGAAGTCATCGCGTCTAACTTTATGGGTTTCAAAAACAAAAAAGACCGTTTATTACCGTCCAGGGTGTCCGTTCTTCCAAGTCTCGAACTTCATTCCTGATTGTAATTGAACTGACTTTAGTAGCAAACTCGTTAGAACCCATCATAGATTTAGGACCGACTGACTTAAACCCAACCTTCAGCATTACCAACACTTCTCAAATCTGGTCTATTGAACAACCAATCATCACAGCGGACGTTCATAGGTTAGACGATGGTTTGTTGGCTGAGTTTGCGGAAATTCTTGAAAAGCAATCCTTACCGATTACCTTTAACCAGTCCAAACTCAAACGCTCAACCAGACCACAGACATTTTCACAACCATCGTGCGGAATGTATCAAAAAGCGGACAACATCTTCATTTTTTTACAGCGACAAAGGATACAAAGGAAACTTCAAAGGAGGTTTAAAACAACACAACCTCTTATATCATCCTATCTCATACGATGCCTTACACGTCATAGGTCAGAATTACAGAGAGGATTTGGATTTATCCTTTCAACTTTCAATAGGCAACGCCGTTATACCTGAGATGCCGACGATGGGAGTGATGGACAACTACAAGCATCTTCAAGAGACACGAAACAACCACGTTTCAATCAAACCACATATGTATAAGACTAACTCCTTCCTCGCGGGGTTCAACCTAAATAAACTGAATAGCGCCAACTACACCGGATTGAACTCGAAGAACAATTCAAATATGGTCGTCCGCGTGAAACCATTGTATGGAACATCACTATACACACTGGAAAGTGGGTTGATTCCGCAAAAGATGTATATTGTCATTGAACACGAGTGTACTTTGGAAATCAAGGCTCAGTCAGTTATTTTCGACGATTAGAAATTTGACTTTGTCAAATTTATAATCCTAGAAAAATAAGGGCAAAGCCGTTATTTTCTACGATTAGAAGAATGATAATATTCTAAGAAACATATTATTGTGTCTCAATCACACTTTTACACTGCTGAACGCCAGAGGCGGTCATTGACTCTTCGAGTCAGCCTAAAGAAGGTGAGGTTCCAACCCCACTGGTCTCTTCAAGACCTTCATGAAATTGGTCGTTCAGACCTTCTCTCAAGTTCATGCTTCGTGGCAGAAGCACTTCGTCAGTGAAGGAAAATCCCCCGGCAGGGATTACCAACACTGGTACCTTTCTTAAGAAAACAAGAACTTTCAGGCCTTTATGGCTCACCTTCCACGGTCCCAGTTCTCACCCCAGCGTGGGTGAAGGAAACCTAAAAAGGGGACCATTGGGAGATTAAGTCAAGACTGTGAGCATCCAGACTCAGGTGTGGTAGTTTGGAAAGACCGTCCATTATGTACAATTTAGCCGCACGGATGGAACTCCAGCGTCCCTTGTCTGGGACCAAATCATATGAAAGAGTCTCCTGAAATAAATTAGTCGCGCCACCCCGTCTGAGGCTGTATGGCCTGAACCCGCAGCCTACAGTACTCCTTAAAGCGGCGGCGAAAGGTCGAAGGGGTGCCTCCCCAAATTTTCGCGAATTTCAGGTTCTTTTCCTGCAAATATTCCAGGAGTGTTTGAAGTACCATAATCACCCAAGGATGGTGGAGTGTAACCATTTCAGTGACACCTTTCCGATCAGAAGTCTTCGTGTTTGCTAACCTGACTAGCCCTTGGCCGTTCCTGATCAGCAGATCTGATCCGCAAAGTCCTAACAACTCTCCTCTCCTCAGAAGGCCCTCAAAGGCAGTGAGGAGCAAGGCTCCAAAAATCAAATCACCTCTGTGAATAGCTAAAGCCGCCATGGCAAACGCAATCTCTTGCGCCATTGGGGGCGCCCGGCATGGTACTTCCAATCGTCTCCACACGCGGAAGAGTCTCCAAGATTCAGGAATCTTGCCGCGGATTCCCGGACAGAAAAACTGAACTCCACATAGTGCAGTTGACACATGGTAAAGTGGGCGCCCTCTGGTCCAAGCGTCCTCCATGAACAAATACTATCGTCCAACTGCTCTTCAGAAGTTGCAGCCCGAAAAAGTGGCAAAAGCTTTCTCCCAAATCTATAGTACTGTGCTTGACAATTGAGTCTCTTAAGACAATGCCTCGTCTGGCATGGGCTCGCTCGGCCGTTGACCGGCGACCCAATACACTAGCGTCGCGATGCTTCATCGGTGGGATTCTGAGTTGATTCAACGTGTCCTATGACTAAGTATAAATCAAAGGCGAGAAGCATGGAGTTCAATTGTTTAAGACAAAAGCAAGCTTCTTTGAACCAGACCGTCCCTTCCCGATGACACTCATGCAAACGTAGCTGTCGGTGAGGTGAAAAATACGTGTGCTTACTGCTGCCCTTCTGCTGATGTGATACCGTATAGCCAAAACAATTGCGCGCAGTTCAAGACTGTTGATGTGTTCTTGGTTCCCCCCAACGACAATGAAACACTGGTTCCCAGTTCCACCATGAGGCCTCAGCCCTTTGACGCGGAAACGCCCTAGGGTTAAGCACGTCGCCAGTGGAGATTCGAACATCAGATCCAGTGTGGTTGACTTTTGTCAAGAGAATACGGTTAAGGTCATGTGGCCGAAGCATGGATGTCAGGGCCTGTGTGTGAAACCCATACTGAAGACCACGTGAAATAGGCGCTGGACAGCGGAGAAGGGATCTAAACCCTGGTGCCAAACCCATTCTGTTTGCTAACCACTGAAGGGAGAAAGCGTCGGCGTAACGCAGCTCCCGGAATGACAAAGGACAGGATGGAGAAACTATCCCCAAGTAAAGAACACCTCATGTCCTCGTAGGCTTGGGCCCCCGCTTGCTTCTGTTGGCTTGCCGAAAGGCATAGGCTGGTGCGCCATCGCCGTAACCAAGCAGGCGCTCCCGCTCAGCAGCTGACGCCACTCGCCAATCGTCTCCTTGCCAAAATAAGAACTCATCTTTCATACAAGTGGGCAGAGCGGCCCGCCAGCCCACTCCCAGTGGGGCTCAACCCACTGGTCGACCGAAGGGTAGGGGGTCTCCGCATGGACCCGCCTCCAATACTGGTGTTGAGTCAACGTGAGTCCTTCAAGAGCCCCTTCCAATGGTTCACTACACCAAGTGAAGCGAGGTCGCCGCATAGGCACTGAATCAACAGGGTCTAGTTCATAAGGCCAGGTGTGAAAGATCTGAGACACTTCTTCACATGCTGACTTGTCCATGGACGAGACGTTCTCGATAACACGTTTGACAAGCACTTGGTTTCCAAAAGCTCCCCTCAAAAGATCCTCAATTCGGGGTATCTCAAAAACCAATGATGAAGCAGGTCCTCGGAGTCCTTGACGGAAAGCCCTCACCCTGAAGAGGTCAGTACAAGGGAACCCAGCCCAAAGGTGGATCTCTTCGACCATAGGGAATTGAAGTAACCATTGATGGACCATCTCGGAGTCAACATTCCTAACGTCCGTGACAATTTGGGCCTGTGGCCACCTCTTGGACAATGCGATTGGCTGGACCATAGAGTTCGACCGCGATCATCCCAACGGGCTGGATATTGAGGACATCGTAGACCCTAAAGCAACCTCCTATTCCGTTGAAAAGGGATACAACCAAAATGGGATGCGGGTTGATTTCAATACTCCTGATCTTTGAAGCCATGACAAAGTCCATTCCAGCTTGAGTCAAACTATGAGAGATGCCTACCGCTCCGCCCTTTGTGGAGGCATCTGACGCGTGGTGCAGGCATCAATCGTGGCTCCCAAATTGCAATGCAGGAAAGGGGAAATAAGCACTAAGGTCCAAAGCTCTCGCCTGACACCTGCGATAACCCGTGGTCCTGTGGCTTTCCCAGAAATGAAGTCCCAAACATGTTCCAAAACAATCATCCCCGGCCTTCTGAATTGCAACACATGAGCCCACCTACCAATGACGATCTGGACGATCTTCCTCCGCAGGATCCGCCCACTCAGAGTCCAAAGTGTCGTCTAAGGCCGAGCCACGCCGTTATGGAGGGCAGATGCCTCACGGCTCCGTCAATCGAATCCATGGTAGCATTAGCGGGGACCAGATTCATAATCAAGCGAAGGACCTTTCGACCGTCAGGGAGCACAGTGGGTTTCTCAACCCCAAAGAGTCCAGAGAGCACCGGTTGATTCCTGTAATGAAACACATCCTCAGGTTTGGTCCAAGAGCAAATATTCCGCTTGACCAATTCCTTACAAAGTGGCAGCACCTGCTCCGTGGGACAATGCACCTTTGCCTGAAGTGAAGGGAGGTCTTGCCCGTTCGTCCTCTGTTGAAGTCGGTGTCCTGGAGCTGTCGCTGGAGCTTCTGGAACAACTGATGATCCTCCCATCCGAAAGGGTCACCTTCCTCCGCTTCCTCTTTCTCTCCTTCTTCTTCCTCTTGGCATGCCGCTTGCTCTTCTTCTTCCTTTTCTTCTTCTTGTCCTTCTTGCCGCCGTCCTTGTCCGACTTGCGGCCCCCGGAACGTCCTCGCCTGCGATCTTTCTCCCTGTCCTTCTTCTTCTCGGTGTCCTTGTGCCGGTCTGTTGTCCTGCTCGAAGGTCGTGGTGCACTGCCTGTTGCCCGTCGGATGAGTTGCTCGTGAAACCCTTCGGAAGTACCTCCGCTTAAAGCCTTCGATCCTGACTCAGAAGAGTCCCAGCTCCTATGCCTGCCTCCTCCGCAGAGCCTGAGCTGCCTGATCCAGTATAGTCGCCCGAGCCCGACCCGGATTTGTCCTCCCATCCGGAGAGTCCCCTTCGGGCGGTGGATCTGGCGGTCCTCCTCCAGCCAGTTTGGCCTTCGATCTCTCTAGCTCGTCGCGAAGCTTCTGAACCTTCTCCGGCGGAAGGGATGAAGTCGGGCGACTGAGATTGCCAACTCCTTTGCCTTTGGCTTCTTTCGCAGCCGTTGCAACTCCATCTCCAGCCCTGGACCGCTTGGCCGGCTTCCGTGGTGGCCCATCCTCCTTTTCTTTCTCTGTTGACCTTCTTGGCGGGCGAGCTTTGACTGCCCGCTCCTTGGGCTTGGCGGTGTCTCCCAAGCTCCCAGCCTCTGCACCTTCTGCCTCCACAGGCCTCCTCAATGCCGAAGGCCTTGACGTCTCCTCCTCTCCCCCAGGGCCCGGGCTCATGCCAGCGTCTGGAGGTGTTGCCTCTGTGTCCTCTGCCCAATAGGGTTCCTCTGCCTCTGAAAGCCACTTTCTGGCGGACCGAACGGCGGTTGATGTCAGTTGGTCCTCCGCACCAGCCAGAGAATGCCATACAACGTCGGAAACATGGATGTCCCCTGCATGCTCCGCACTGCAAAAGTGCAACCAGCCTTGCTTTCTGTGACAGGTCCTTCTTGAGACTGGGATTGGGCAAGCGTCCCCGTTCCTGGGATAAGCTGAACCTCGAGGACAAGGAAGTAGCCAAGGGTCTGAGGTGCGCTTTGGTATGAGGATGTGCCCAGGTCTACTACCAGCACATCTCCTCTCATTGGTGCCAATGTCACCCATTGTACAAAATCTGATTGGGTGAAGACTTCACCCTCGCGATGAACACGGTGAGTCATTGATGGAGGTCACGGAAATCCCGCTCCAGCTCCGATGCCAGATTGTCCAACAATGCTCCACTCAACTTGCGATGGATGGGAAGTTCCGGGTCGTGTTCCAGCCTTCCGATCCTCTGGTGTTTCCTGCCTGCTCTGTGCTTGGCCTTCTGACGATGAGAACCGCGATCTCCACGATGCTGTCGATTGTCGCCACCTGACGTCCTCTGCTTGTCACGTCCGTACGATGAATTTGCAACCGGTGGCTTCCGAGATGGAGGTGGGCCTTTTGGCTCCGGCGGCTTCCTGTCGTTCGAGCCTGGCAGGGGCTTGTGAGTGGTCTCAACTACTTCTTCCTCCTCGGAATCCTCCTCGAACTTCTCGTCAGTATCCGAGAGCACCTCCTTGTCTACCCTGTCGCTCCTCCTCTTTGCCTGAAGCTCCAAGGGCCGCTGCTGATTTGCTTCCTTCTCCTCTGCAGAACCGGCTTCTCGTCGTGCTCCTCCCTGGCTCGCTTCCCAGCAGCCACAGGGCGATCCGAGCGGCTTGCTGCAGCTTCCGCGTTCGCTCGAATGCCAGCGCTGAGGTTCCTCAGATAGCGGACCTGGCGGGTGACCGAGAGGACCAAATCGTCGGCCAAGCGGCGCGACGAGGAGCACGACCACCTGCTTGTCAGCTCCTGTCCTAGGGTCTCCCACGAGGAGCACGCTAAACACCACGTGTCACCGTCCCGTGCTTGGGACTGATGACACCTGTTACAGGTCATCAACGAACCTATCTTCAACTAAACGAGCCGAAAGTGTCAAGTGGATATCGACACAACTTTCTAACAGAAAACATATCATTTTTATTTCTAACTAAAGTATATATAGATGGATGATAGACCCCGCCGACAAACAACTGAAGAAACTGACAGACATACCTTGATTAGGTGGAGGTGGTGGAGGCGGTGGAGGGAGTGAATGGACGGGTTATACACATTTAGAGATTGACAATATGTTGAACGCTAAGGCGGATTTAGTAAATCCTTATTTTCCAAATGGAGTACCATTCAATCCAATTTATGGGCAACAACTATGGATACATTAGGAATAACCGCCAATGCTGTTAATACAAATCAACATTATGCTGAAGACTTAGCATTAGATACTCGTTATTTTCACGGTGGAACTGAATATATGAGGTATGACTTCACCAATTCAACCTTAGAAATGAAGACAGAACTACAAGTTGAAAATGGTTTCAAAACAGACACCATTGATACATTAAACAATACTAATCTTTCATTCTTAAGAAATGGAAGCGAGTACATGTATTTTCAAACAACACCTGAAAGACTTGTAGCAAACAAACCAATAGGAATATATGGAGGTAGAGACAACTGTGTAATGTCAGAAGGAGTTGAAGGAAGTTTCAATGTATTGAGGATTAGACACTTAGATGAGACAGAACCCTATTTGATACTGACCTGTTCTGATGGTGTTGATACTAACAACTTTACAATGACAAAAGGACAAATAGCGATAAATACAAAACTAACGTGTAATTGGTATGATGGCATCAGTGATATTGATGTTCCATTCAGAAGAAACACAGTTGAGTATTTTACACTGGATGGTGCTAATCAGATTGTAAATGTAGCACCATCAATAGGAGTATCAACAAATGCTTTATATACTACAAACATCAGACCGAGGGCAAACGACAGCGATTTAGTCTTTTATGGTAGAGCACCCAATGGAACAACCCAAACTGAATTTATGAGACACGACCATTTGATTTTAGTTTTAGATATTTCTTCGGGCATTTCATTTTCGGGTGGTATGAACTCACTAACGGTCAATGGTGATAGTCTTTTAGACGGTAATATTACTTCTACTGGTGAAATCAACATGTCAACTTTTACAACAACATTAATTTTTGGTGATATTTGTTATGTGAGAGAAGAGAACGACGTTGCTAACAAAAGATTAGCAATTTGTGCATGATTATGTTGGGTTTGTTGTAGGCAGTGGAACTTTTGAAGATATTGAGATAATGGATATAACAAGGACAAATGTTCTTTTTAGACAAGATATTGTAGCACTTAAAAAACTATGCCGTTGTTAAAAGTAATACCTATGACAGTTATGACGATAGTGATATGTATTTTAGAAGAAACGGAGTGGAGTTTATGAGATTTACTACCGGTGGCGGTATAAGATTTCCTCAAATTGTTCTACCGGCGGGTGGTGAAGCGAAAACTTGGATATATGAAAGCATTGAAAACACCGCTAATATAATGAGGTTATGGAACAGGTCGACGAATACACCTATTATTGCCTTTGGATGTGATATTGATGCTATTGATGCTAATATAATGCTTGTATATGAAACACATGTTGAGAGTAGGCGCGAGAGAAGATGTAATACACATAACTCAATAGCGGATCCCAAACTGCACAGCTCGGAAGGAGCGCAAAGACCCGGAGACCCCTCCGCGCTCCTGGCCCAGACCCACTGAGAGGTTGCCGTCAAAGGCGAAGTAGATCCAGAAACTGCTGTAGTTGGATGAATTCAGCACCTGCGATTGGCGGTGGCTTCAGGCTGGTGGATGAGTTTTCCCAGAGTGAGTCTGCGGATTTCCTCTGCAGGCTCTGCGCCGGTGGCTCTGGAGGGCGTTGGTTTCATGCCCGCACGGAGGGTTCATTTCGGGGTGTCAAAGGAGGACAGGTGATCTGTGTTGAAGGGACTGCCACTTCGACTTCACCCTTTTCAAGACGTTTCTCCTTCACGTGTGCACGAATTGACACATTCGTTCGAATGCAGAAGGTGGACCCTGAAAGTTAAACACATCGTATCTGGATAAAACGCTGTGCAACCAACTCCAAAGTTGCATATCCCGATCATGAAAAACAAGTTTGCCTGCTCTGGATCAGTACCGAATCAACCTGCAGGGCGATGACGATAAACACCAAAAACTAGGTCCTAAAGAAAACAACACACACATGAGACCCCCTTCCCCAATCTTCCCCCCCTTCTGTGCTTTTTGCTACTCCTTTGTTGGTCTTCACGCCGAGAAGGGCACCCAGGGCACCCACGCCCTTCCCACGCCCAGACGCCGCGTCTTGCGTCTTGCTACGTCCGTATTCCTTCGCCGTCGCGTCTTGCTACGGTCTCCTAGGACTCCGCGGTCTCCCGCAGGCGCCGCTCTTCGGCGACGCGGCGGCTCCGGTGCACGTAGAAGGCCGCGAAGGCCATGGCCGCGAGGACGGAGAGGGCGGCGATCCACAGGAAGACGGTGACCACGGAGGAAGAGGAGTTGTCGGGTTTGGTGTCGTTCTTGCCATCCGGCTTCTCCTTAGAAATCCAACGTGGATGAGATGAGATGAGATGGTAGTTGGGTGATTTTGGAGTAAAGAACCCAATCGGACCCAATCCACTCATACATAGGATGACCCCTCCAAAAAACAAAACTGTTCCAAAGTTCCCCCAAGCATCCGTGGGCTTCTCCGTGGGCGCTGTCGTCTTCGTCTCCGGACTCGCCGTCGTCTCCGGCGCCGTGGTCTCCGGCGCCGGCGTGGGCGTCGGGACGTGCTCCGGCAGCGGCCACGGCGTGCCGTCGACGCGCGGCGGCGGCAGCGGCGCCACGGGCAGCTCGTTCACGTGCAAGGCGCCGTCGCCGGCGTCCACGCCGAAGCAGGGGGAGCCTGGTTGAACCTGAAGGGAGGAGAAGGAGAGAGAGAGAGAGAGAGAGACCAGACTGAGGTTGAGATTTTGGGGGATCTTTCGATCGTCTGCTCTTATCAGTGTGGAGGGATGTCCGGGATGGTTGTTTTACTGATAAGGAACTCACATGGGATCGACGAGATGCAATGATCCAATGGGCAAACCTTTCTTCTCTCCCACAATTTTCCCACTTCGCGAGGAACGCCAGTGCCGCCATTGGAGAAAAACACCACAAAAACACGACACCGCACCGGGCTTCCCATTCCCGAACACCTGCACACCCGCCGATGCACACCCTCCGAACACGAAACGACGGGGGATCGGCCTCGAAGGTCCCCTCGCACATGCCGTCGTAGGAGACCCCCGCATCGTCCCCTTCGATCCCTCGAAACATCACGCGCGCGGCCAGGATCCGTTGGCTCGAGTTGGGGCCCTTGGCAGAGGTGCCCACGTAGTTGCCTCGGTTGTGGTCAGTGACCTGTGCGATGTTCTTTTTTATACTTAATTTTGGTTCGGTTTTCCATTGAAACTGATCCAGCAAGGAAATCCGTCGACATGCCAAGCAAAGGTTAAGCGAGACATCCAACACATGGGCCCCGTGACATCACTTTGTATGTCACGTGATCACCCCACTTTCACCATGTGAACTTCAGCAGCAGTTGCTGTAGGCATACAGCGCCACCCAGGTTTCTCCTCCGGGCGCATGGCCGGCGCCCACCACGTCCGACTTGCCAAAGGAGTCGGAGCTGCAGGAGTTGGGGAAGTCACCATCGCCTCTGATCCAGTCAAACCGGCAGGGGAAATCGTCCGAGACTATATTGCCATTCTTGATTGTTGCTACTCGGGCTCAATCTGTCACAAAGGCTCACTCTGTCATGTTCGAGCGAGTCATGCGCTACTCCATCCAGTAGACCGTTTCGACGACCCGATGAAGTCGATCCAGTCATCCGACCCGCGGAGCGCGGAGGGCGGAGTCCCGCCGTGCGCCTAAGGATTTGTCGCCTCTCACGCAGTCGATCACAAAGGCTTTGCAAAGATATCCAGTCCTTTCACCTCGATGACGAACAAATTCGAGCGAAAGATGGCAAAAAAACACAACACCTAAGACACGAAGGCGTTCTAAAACTGTGCCGTTGCCTCTTTTCTGTGCTGTCCCTCGCCCGCAAAAAATGGAAGCAACACCCCCTTCCGTTCCAGGACTTCAACGACGCATTTCTGGCCCAGGTCGCTGGTGTCGCAGGACATCTTGGTGGAGTCGCTGGGTGGACCTGCTCGAATCACGTCCTGGACATTCTCGAAGAACTCAAAGTCTTCGTAACACTCTTGGAAACATCCAGGCACATAGCCCTTTTGCAGCGGGGGCCTCTGGGGTGCCCCTGTGGCATTCGGAGTCCTGACAGGTTCAGACTTGGGAGGTCGGTCTGATCGTCGATGTCTCTCTGCCATTTCCATCGATATAATGACTCTATATATTTCATATAATATTCATTAAAACAATATTTGTTTACTCCTCTTTTCAGCCGAGTGACCACTTGCAATCCTTCATCAAATTAAACTTCAACTTGCTGAGGCACTTTGGCCTGGCGCTTTCAGCGTGCAGCACCAGCGCGCCGAAGAGGAGGGCCCAGCGCCACATTCGCGGAGACTCCGAGCTGAGAGAAAAATCGGCTTCGCAAAACTCGGCTGCTTTGAGCCAAGCAGCAGCCGGCTCACTTCAGCTGAGTCAGCAGGTCTTTGAACAAAGTTGTCTTCAAAGGGAGACAGACACACACACACACAAACTCCCATCTCTTTCTAAGAAGAAACCAAGTTCAATCTCCCTCTCTCAACATGGCTGGGAGTAGACCCAACACAATCCACTTGGTGTGCAAACGGCTGCACCTGCCGGTACCAGTCAACCAACAGCAGCTGCAAAAGGCAAAAACCACACCCTGTGGTTCCCCCCCCAGATCGCCACGCAACCAAAATACACGAGCGTTCGGTCCGGAGCAAAGACTGAAGACCGCCCAACGTTCCGAACGCTCGTTCTCTGCATCTTTGGCACCGTCCCGTAGTAGTTGCCCAGCTGCTGTGTCGTGGGATACGTCCGCAGGACCTGAGAAGGAAGGCATCCCGCACCGAGCATGGCATACCGCACCCAGTGGTGCAAAAAGCACGACCATGCTGGTGAATCTTAAGTGATAAAGCACTTCTTGTTACTACTAGTAACAAGTGCCACGCTAGTAGTAACAAGTGCCTTACTAGTAGTAACAAACAGCTATTAGAATCAAACTAAACTTAACATAAATTAATAGCTTCTTGTTACTACTAGTAAGGCACTTGTTACTAGTAGCGATGCACTTGTTCCTAGTAGCTTCTTGTTACTACTAGTAAGGCACCTGTTCCTGTGCCGAGAACAGCGGACTTTCCGTTTTGATTGCACTGGCCATCTGTGGTTACTCAGTTTGAACACGAGCAACCCAAACGCCAATGACCGATAACTAAACTTCTAGCTGATGATGAACATCAAATCAACAAGGCCATGTTTAAAGTCTCTTTTTCTTTTCTTTCTGCAGATTGGCTTTGTGTATCTTTGTGTTTGGGAAGCCAAACCACTCGAGCGGAACAAAACATGCGAAGCAAGATGCTGAGAGTCCGTTGTTCCAGCCACCCAAGACAATCTCGAAGCCAGCCCTGGCGCACAAGCGATTCAAAGACGCTATCTGCTTATTTTCTATCATGCACTACAAACTTTAATTGCTCCAAAAGGAAACGACTTGCAGCTAGAAAGCTAGAGTTGACCTTTTTGAAATGGCCAGCAACAGGGGCGTGTCACACCACTTGTTGTAGAAACCCAGTCCCAACCAGAAACAAACGATAACAAACGGCTGTTCTGGCAATTGAGATCCTGTACAGTGGCTGTTTGGGGAAACATTCATTTGTTTCTGGTTCGGTTTCCAAGCCCATGTCGAACCCGTTCAAATACCACCCTGGTATCAACCCCCGAAGATTTTTTCCGTCACCTGACGGTCCCATCTCAGCTCCAAGTTCCCGACGCCGAACCCGACGTCCGTCGGCCGAGACCACGCGGCGCACTCGCGTGGCGTCCCCAGGAAGAGGTGCGCGTTGCTGTCCGCTTGGACGGAGACGATCATCATCAACGGTTGATCTGGTCGGTCGACGGGTCGACGGGTCGGTGTCGACACCCGTGTCTGAGAAGAATAGTGCACTCAGGATGAGCAGTCAACTTTTGATTTGTA